AGGCTGTACGTTGTAACGAAGGTCAGTTTGCCTATTTTCCTCTCTAAATCATACGTTACATCGAAGTTTACGCTGTAAAGGTGCACGTTCTAAGCAATACCGGCAAATGGAATAATGCATTATGCGAATTCGGGACATTGAAATTTGAACTTTGTATTGGTGTAAACGTTATAAACGGGGTACGTTGTACCGAGGTTCGACTGTATATGGAAAGACAACTCTGTTTTATTTATAAAAAATAGAGTGAAAATAGAATGAAAAGTTGCTAATAGAATGAAATGAAAAATGAAAACATGCTAACACCAATGTATGTTTGTACACAAATGTCATAAGCTGAGTGAAGTCATGGTCCATGGTTCATGACATGCTTGTACACTTACAGAATAAAATGATGTCATTTCATTTTCATTGGCCACACAGTCTGTCTGTCTGTCTGTTTCAAAGTCTGTGTTTGCAGACCCAGTGACCATCGTCCCTGCATTCGGCAACGGAGTTCCTTGGCTAGAAAAATCAGAAACAATCTTCTTTTGCCTTTCCACCCTGTGCACGCCTTGTACAGAGCATAGGCATTCACCGCCACCAGGTATAGCATGTTGTAAAATACAGCTACTGGCCACCTGCATGTTGCTGCTCGTACTGAATACATGTACGCCATTCTAAACAGTGACGTGGAGAATTCCTCTTGCTCTGCAGTGTCCTTTGCCGATGGAGGAAGTTCATGGCAAAATTTTTTCACCGTGCCCAGTAGAGTGAAGCAGTCTGTGTGACAGTGACAGTGAGGTGAAGAAATTGTCCGTTGTGACATTTCTCCCGTCGTCCAGAAATGGCTCCATCAGACTCATGACCATGTTCTCTGGCAGCCTCTCCCCCTTCTGATGGAGTCCTTTCCCAAGTAAGGGGACACGTTGCAGACGTATTTGGTCTCTAAATCCGTCGCCATCCAGAACTTGATCCCAAATTTGTCCTTCTTGGATGCGATATACTGCATGGACAACGAACTTTGGTCAGGAACAGCTGTTCATCTATGGTCATGTGTTCTCCTGGAGTGAATCTCTCAGCACAGTTCTTAGTGACACGTGTCCAGATGTCAGAGATTGCAGCAAATCTGTCTTTATTAGTCCCACAAGTGGAAAACTTGCATCATCACGGCAGAAAAGTAGACAGTGCAAGATAAGAGCAGCAAAATTAAAAACAGAATGAAAACAGTACAGTATAAAAAATACATTACACAATCTAGAAACATAAATATCGATGAGTGTATTGAGTGTATTGAAAAATATAAATCTCTCTCTCTCTATATATATATACACTCACCTAAAGAATTATTTGGAACACCTGTTCAATTTCTCATTAATGCAATTATCTAATCAACCAATCACATGGCAGTTGCTTCAATGCATTTAGGGGTGTGGT